TTTCAAAAATAAAAAGTTTTTTTACATAATATTTTTACATAGCTATAGCGGGCCCGACAGACGTTGTCCTGCCTGAACGTTGGCTACCCAATTGCAGCGCCACCTACCGGGTATAATTGTGAATCTAAACCATCCAGGGACCCACTTAAACACACACACAAAATTTCATTAAAATCGGTCCAGCCGTTTAGCAGTTCAGTGACATTCATAGTGCATACGTACAGAAGAATTATATATGTATACATATTAGGGTGATTCATTTCCGCAAAGTTTTTGTTTTCTTCGGTGCTCAAGCAAAATATTAATCTGCATATAGAAAAAAAAATTCTCAACAAGTTTGAGCTCTTAATATCAATTTTAAGTACTTGCAGTTTAAATTTAAAGTTTTCCCATTTAAAAAGCATGTAAAAAAAATGTTTTTTTTTTCAAATTTCTAATGCTTACCCACCTTTGACAATATTGCAAATCGGTTTAATACACCTTATGGGGAATTTCACGCTCTTTAAAATTGCTTTTGAGTTTTTTTTTGTAACTCGCATTGGTTCACCAGTAGGAGTCGTCAAAGGACAGTTTTTGAAAAAAATCGGTTTTTTTTTTAAATTTTTTCTAACAAACCGCAAAAAGTAGGGAGAAAAGTTTTTGTTTTCTTCGGTGCTCAAGCAAAATATTAATCTGCATATAGAAAAAAAAATTCTCAACAAGTTTGAGCTCTTAATATCAATTTTAAGTACTTGCAGTTTAAATTTAAAGTTTTCCCATTTAAAATGCATGTAATAAAAATGTTTTTTTTTCAAATTTCTAATGCTTACCCACCTTTGACAATATTGCAAATCGGTTTAATACACCTTATGGGGAATTTCACGCTCTTTAAAATTGCTTTTGAGTTTTTTTTTGTAACTCGCATTGGTTCACCAGTAGGAGTCGTCAAAGGACAGTTTTTGAAAAAAATCGTTTTTTTTTTTAATTTTTTCTAACAAACCGCAAAAAGTAGGGAGAAAAGTTTTTGTTTTCTTCGGTGCTCAAGCAAAATATTAATCTGCATATAGAAAAAAAAATTCTCAACAAGTTTGAGCTCTTAATATAAATTTTAAGTACTTACTATTTAAATTTAAAGTTTTACCGTTTAAAATGCATGTAAAAAATATATATATATTTTTTTCAAATTTCTAATGCTTACCCACCTTTGATAATATTGCAAATGGGTTTAATACACCTTATGGGGAATTTCACGCTCTTTAAAATTGCTTTTGAGTTTTTTTTTGTAACTCGCATTGGTCCACCAGTAGGAGTCGTCAAAGGACAGTTTTTGAAAAAAATCGTTTTTTTTTTTAATTTTTTCTAACAAACCGCAAAAAGTAGGGAGAAAAAAGGGCTGAATCATAAAAAAAAGTTATCCAACCAATATTTAATGAATTTACAGCCATTTTTATAACTGAAAACGTAAGAAATTGATAATTACCAACTCATAATGTTATTTAGATTGATTTTTTCTATTTATTTTAATTATATTTCCCTACACTAAGAAGTTTTTTAAAATTATTAATTTCTCACTTATAATGAATATGAAAACAACAGATAAATTCATAAAAAAATAGCAAAAAAGTATAAATGAAGATTATTTAATTTTTTGAAGCGAAATTTGATATATGTTACATAACCTTCTGTATATTCCGATTAAAGTTTTGTTGTTTTTTTTTATGAATTTATGTGTTGTTTTCATATTCATTATGAGTGAGAAATCATAATAATTTTAAAAAAGTTCTTAGTGTAGGGAAATATAATGATAATAAATAGAAAAAATCAATCTAAATAACATTATGGGTTGGTATTTATCAATTTCTTACGTTTTCAGTTATAAAAATGGCAGTAAATTCATTAAATATTGGTTGGATCAGCCTTTTTTTCTCACTACTTTTAGCAATTTGCTCGAAAAAATAAAAAAAAAACGATTTTTTTCAAAAACTGTCCTTTGACGACTCCTACTGGTGAACCAATGCGAGTTACAAAAAAAAACTCAAAAGCAATTTTAAAGAGCGTGAAATTCCCCATAAGGTGTATTAAACCGATTTGCAATATTGTCAAAGGTGGGTAAGCATTAGAAATTTGAAAAAAAAACCATTTTTTTTACATGCATTTTAAATGGGAAAACTTTAAATTTAAACTGCAAGTACTTAAAATTGATATTAAGAGCTCTACCTTGGTGAAATTTTTTTTTTCTATAGGTAGATTAATATTTTGCCTGAGCACCGAAAAAAAACAAAAACTTTGCGGAAATGAATCACCCTAATACATATGTATATAAAGATAACAAAGTTATGATTTTAAAGCCTGATTTATATTGGATTAAGACGTAACATAGACGCAACGGAGACGTAAGAAACGGACTAACAAATTGGAGCGGACTTTTGACGCACGCGTAGTTGTGCGCCTTTCTATTCTTTTAAAATATTTTAGCGATATTGCCTAAAAAACATTATTTTCAAAAGGAATATATAAGTTTTTAAATTTAATTGGACCAAAATTATTATAGGTCAAACTATGCACCCTTTGGCCTGACTGCGTTATTTAATACTGCGAATTTCAAGGTAACCCATTCTATATAATTCTCATATTTGATTGGTCGGACAGAAGAATTGGAGTGAAAAAAATAAAAGTTGGCAAATTCTTCCGTTTCCGTTAATTCTGCGTTTACATTCATCAACATGAGTACATAAACTCTATAGTTGATCTTTTCGCAGTGCATTTATAAATTCAGCTTAAAATACAGCCATGTTAACTTCAGATAGCTGCTAGATTTTTTATTTATTTTGTATTAGAAGGGTTTTTATAAATCATAGATGTGCTATGCAGCACACTAAGAAACATCAGTTAATTTTTTTAAACTTAAATGATTAATAACTATAATAAAAGGAGGGTTTCTATTGCGTGGTATGTGGTAGTCTTTGCACATAAATACAATTAAAAATTTTAAAAAACGTATTACTTAAAAACTCCCCTGGACCATTTAAGCACGCGAACGACACAAATCACAAAATAAAAATGTAGTTCATTTGTATATTATTTTGGCATCAAAATTGTCAAAAATATTCTTCTTTTATTAGTCCCGGCCGCAGATATTTTTTCCTTAACCAACGTCCCGAGTCCGCCCGCTTGCCGAGTCCCGCTGCTTTACCGAGTCATCTCGCGCTTGCGAGCTCAGTGACTAACGTCCAGGTACAGAAAAATTGCGAAGCTTCAAAACCAACCTAAACCCAACAACCCAACCCAACCGACCCCGCCCCATTGCCCCCCCCCCCGCCCCATTGGGTAAAAATTTTTCAACGAAGGAATATTCATTTAATTACATTTTATATTATAAAACTGTAGCAAAATGATTATGAGGAAAGGTAAATAAATTAAAATATTAATGTAAAATTAAATATAAATGCTTTTAAGGCCACATTGTATTATTTTGGTATATAAATTCTTTAAAAAAAAATTAAAAAAAGTTGTGGAGGCACCAAGAATCGAACCCCGTATCTCTCGCATGCAAAGCAGGCGCCCTTCCATCGAGCTACCGAGCTTATTATAAAATCCCTATCGCTCGAAAAATAATACCGATTTACAGTGTGACAGCAGGACTCGGCATCACATGTGCTGGCTATATGAACCTCAATTGATGACACAAATGATGCATATATTCGTGCATACGTGCGGATTACAATCACGTTGTGACTGCAATATGCGTCAATTATGAACCTCATAATGTTATCTGGGTAGATTTAAAGGAGTGATGATATCATGACCATAAGGTATTGGGTTAGGTAAAATTACCTTAAAGTTAGTACTCTTTAAGAGTACCTATAGGTATAAGAATAGAATAGAATAGAATTTATTGATGCAAAAATAAACGTATTTATAAATACGTTTATTTTTGCATCAATAAATTCTATTCTATTCTATTCTTATGCAATATTGTATACTTATACATAAGGCTTTAAGAGTATTCTCTATAGGGCGATTCCATGATTACTAGCGGGACAAAAAGAAATAAAGAAATATTTTTGAAGATATGTTGTTCTTATAACAATTATTTTATGATAGTTATTATAACTTACTTTTATTGCTGAGAACTATCATAAAATTATATTTATAGGAACACCCCTTAGTAATCATGTAAACCCCTAACTAGTCGCGCAGGTGCACTGAGTGCTCCGTTTTTTATTAAAACCTCTCTAACTTTTTGTCGTTTTCTTGGAAAGTGCCCTTTCCATGTAACCTATGACTGATGTATCTACCATGCACTGTAGACTGCATATTCAGTTTAAAATATTGATTTCAAAGTTATGGACAAAAATTGAAAAAATTCAGCAATATAGTCATTTTAAGGAGCGGACCACTTATGTTACAAAAATTGGCGCGAGTAGTTATTTAGATTTTAGATTTAGAAAAAGATATAATAATAAATATAAGTAAATTTGTTTTAGTTAGTGAACTTGTTTTTTTTAAATTATTATAAATCTCAATATAGTAAGTAGTTCCGATACTGCTAAAAGCCTGTTTTTATTTTATGTTTATGATACAATATAATAAAGTGTATGGGCCTCTCAAAACCGTACTTTTTTCAGGGGCGTAGAAGTTGAGGAGAAAAACACCCGCTACCCCTTCAAAATCTCCACCAATTATGAGGAAAAAAAATTTTTTTCTAGCACAAAACATAGCTTATTTTGAGTAGAAAATGCTTACAAAAGCTGTTTTTTTTACGATAAACGGTTCCAGAGATAATCTAAAAAAACGATTTTTGTTCTAAAATTTCAACACCCTGTATCTCGAAAATGGTGCATTTTAGAGGGTAAGTTAATAGCGAGTTTTTTCATCTTTTTGGATGAGCTATCACATCCTGAAGTCCTGCTCATATATTATGAAACACCCTGTATATACTACAAAATATAAACTTGTTTACAAAATTATCAAAAAATTAAGAAGAAAAGCTTATATTACACAAAATTTAAATATCATACCTGAAAAGCTGGCTCCCATTGTTCCATGGCCCCAATTGCATCAGATCTTCCTGTTACCATTCCATCTTTTTCAACTCTTAAATATTTATTGTAACCAGATTTAAATGCCACTTTTCTTTCATTTATGCTAACACCTGTTAATATCTCTTCAGGAGAAGGTCCTTCTCCCTCGTTATGAGGAGGCCCCAAAGTAAATAAACCATTATCCAATGCTTTTACATAACAATGATTGCCAAACTCAATAGCCACAGGTCCTGTTACTTCTTCTATTTTGTTAATCTTCCACCAATTCCCATGTTTCATACTATCAATGTCTTGTTTGGGGACATCCTCTACTTTCTTGCTTTTGTGTTTGCGTTTTTTTCCTCTATAAAAATTACGGTTTATGTTTGTTTACTTTTCTTCTAGACTTACTTTTGTTTTTCTCCCTTTAACACCAATTTTCCAACTCTTATATTATCGTATTCAGACATTTTACTGCAAGAACAAAATAAAAACAAATAACTTCTAACCTTATTGTTTGACAGTGGCTTCTCGAGGTAGATCAAATATACCTGCACGACATTAATAACAAAATGTAGCCAACGTTTAAAGTAGTTCAAATTAAATTATACAGTATTTGTAGCTAACTTAACACTATCGTTTCTCGCAAATATTTGAGGTTATATTATTTCAAACATTTTCCATCACAAACACATCTTTGCAATAAGTTATATTATTAGGTTCAAAAAATGTCTCATAATCTACATGGCACTTTTGTATCACAAAAAGTAAATAAAATACGATGGAGGCCAGATTCCTTTAACAATTCTCACTTTTTTATTACTGGAAGTTGGGATGATGATCAAAATACTATTAAATTATGGGATTTTCAAGAAAATGAAGAAGACGACGATATATATCCGTTTTTAGTTGCAACACACAACCATAATGGAGATGTTACAGAGGCTAAAGTACAGGTCAAACAATTTTAATAAACAAATTTAATTATAAAATATTTTTTTAGTTTTTAAATCCAGATTATTTGCTTGCATCTTCTTCATTTGGATCTGCCCGTTTAATTAAAATTGAAAATAAATACAATGAAATATCACTAAAAGATGAAATAACCTGGGACCATTTACATTACTTTAATAACAAAGAATGTAGTCCCTGCAATAGTTTTGCATTATATGAAAATGATATAGTCACTGTTGGTGAAGATGGAAGAATTAATTTGTTAACAGCTCAATCCAAGCTAATTGTAAGGAGAATAGATGAAGCTGATAGCTGCTCCTTGCAATGTGTGATATTCTTAAAGCACAATGAAATATTGACTAGTAATTTAAGGGGGCAAATGAAAATTTGGGATCTTCGATCTAAAGAAAAAACTGCCATTAATACATTTATGTTGAGTGGAGACCATGTTACACCAACATGTTTAACATTCCACCCTACACAAAGACATTTAATTATAGCAGGAGATGATTTAGGTAATAAAATAATTTTATTCTTGATTTATCAATTTAAAAATTAAATTTTTATTTTAATAGTTAAAGGCTTATTAGTTTTGAAAGGGATGAAAAATAATTTTGATTCTGTAACATTTTTGTTGGTTTAAAGTGTAAATTAACGTTTTTATAACCCATTTACAATAAAACACTAAGAATCTATGAAACTAACTAACTACTAATTATAATAAAGAAAAGGAAGAAATAAATATAGGTAAAAACAAATACAGATAAATACATAGCTAGTCTACTTTTGTAAAATATATAAATAATTATTTATATATTTTACAAAAGTAGACTAGCTATGTATTTATCTGTATTTGTTTTTACCTATATTTATTTCTTCCTGAGTACAAAAGCTTGACTGACTACTCAACCCTTCAAATTGGAGGCTCCAATAGGTCTTATATATATGAGGACCCTAGAAGCCAAGGGGTATAAGTACATTTTGTTTAGTTTTGAGATAATCATGTTTAAAGTAAAAAACACTTGTAATTTGGAGTCAAAATTGTTTGTTGTTTTATGACTTTGTTTTTCAATCTAGATCGTTCGGGTATCCTTTGCGGTAAACAAGCGAGAGGGTACTCGCTACAGTACTTGCAATTTTATCTATAAACAACTTATGTTTTGACAAACTCTCAAAAAATACATACACCATGTTATTTTTTCTCCTATAGGTATATCCAGGGCTCACATAAGCTGCTGCACGCAAACCTCTTGACGATCCTTCCCAAAACATTCTACACCGTTCAATCTACACTGCGCGTCAAAATTAACGCATAATAAGTAAAAAAATTCTAACTCTAAAACGCCTTTACCAATCTTTATGAAATTTTGTATAAGAATACTTCAACTTATATCTCAGTTTACGTGTTCGAGGGTTTTTCGAGAAAATATTTTTAAAGCCCTTTTATTTAATATTAAAAAAAAACGCTCGAAAAAAAACTTTTATAGGGAATTGTGTTTAAGTAAATAAAAAATATGCTGTTAAAGACTTTTTTTTTGTTAGTATACCCTGAAAATTTTGTACAAATCAATCAACATCAAAATGACCCCTTTTTGATTACTTTGCTGAAAAGTGGTAATTTTTACCGACTTTGAAGCGCTGTATCTTCGTTACTGTTCGTTTGATTTGTACAAAATTTTCAGGGTATACTAACAAAAATACGGTCATTAGCAGCATATTTTTTATTTACTTAAAAAAAATTCCGTATAAAAGTTTTTTTTCAAGCGTTTTTTTAAATATTAAATAAAAGTGCTTTAAGGAAATTTTTTCGAAAAACCCTTGAAAACGTAAACTGAGATATAAATTAAAGTATTTTTATCCAAAATTTTATAAAGATTGGTAAAGGCGTTTTAGAGTTGGAATTTTTGTACTTATGCGTTAATTTCGACGGGCAGTGTAGATCGTTCGGGTATCCTTTGCGGTAAACAAGCGAAAGGGTACTCGCTACAGTACTTAAAATGTTATCTATAATCAATTTAAGTTTTGAAAAACTCTCAAAAAATACATACACCATGTTATTTTTTCTTATAGGTTCTTTAACAACATGGGATCTACGTCATAACACCTATCCAGTTAATGTTTTAAATGCACATGAAGGGTCCATTTCAGAAATTCAATTTCATCCTGATAATCCAGACCAACTCTTCAGTTGTTCAAGTGCTGGTGAAATATGGCATTGGTCTACTAAAGGAAAAGCTGGAATTACAATGGAAGATTCAAACATTTGGCTAGCACCAGATAATATTAAAAATAAGTTGGAAGTGTTTACATTAATGCCTAATTTGGGAAAACCTATAAATTCACTGGACTTAAATAGAAATAGGATTATTTGTGGTTGTGACAATGAAGCTATATATTTAATTAATGGTATTACTCTCTATAACTAATTATATTGTATGTGTTTTTGAATAAAAAGCCAATTAGCTTCAAATAGCTTTTTTTTAATTTGAAAATTCTTATAAAACTTTTTTAAATGTAATGAAAGAATAATAATAATAAAATTGTGTCTAACCAGATTGAGATCACAATAATTATTTAAATAACATCATGTTATTTTATTACCATTCCTTAATAGGGACCATGTTGCAACAAATAAATTTGTTAACCAACTAAATTAAGCATAAAAATCTGAAGGTCAGGTTAAAACTGGATTTAAAGTAAAAATAAAACAAACCTAGATACATTAAAAATATATTTAAAATAATATATCTACATACAATAAGAGGAACAATATTCTTAATAAATATATATATAAATAATAAATTTAGAAAATCAGTCAGCTTTAAATATTTTAAATACCTATTTTATTGCCATATTTAACATATTTTAAATTTTAGCACCTATTTAAATACAAAAACTTGTCATCAATGATTGTCGATTTTAATAAATTAAAAACTTACTTAATGTTACATTTTATCCGCGAGTATTGTGATTGACAACTTTCTATCAGGCCATGCAAACTGTTTTGGTAAAGACAGAGCTTCTGGATTGGCTAGTACCTGAAAAGTGGCCGCCATATCTTGAGCAAGGTCATCCGGTATTAGCACTTGTAACCAAGAACCTTTAGAAACAAAAGGGTGGTCAGGGTCCACCAAAGTACCAGTCACAGAATTTGCTACCAACGTTATGGCTGTCTCTCCCAGGACGGATTTAAAGGTAAAGTGCCTGCCATGTTTTACTCTGCCTCTAAAATGTTTATTATAATTTAAATTTTAATAACATCGAAAAAATTCAGCTGGAAGTTATTTCTCACAGTCTGCTTTCACATTTTTCAAAAAAAAAATAGTTTTATCTCTTTCCTATTAGTCATTAGAAAAGAGCTTTAAAGGACCCCAAATTAATCCTATGGGAAATGGGTTCAGGGAGATTTCTCGAACATCAAATCAAAAGTTACCATTGGCACATTCTCGAAAAATAGCCCGTTTCAGAGCTAGAAGACTTAAGTTGTGATTTTTAAGTTAAAAATTTTGAAAATTCTAAAAATTTTAAATTTTAAAGATCTTAAAAATTACAACTTCAAAGTATTCTAGCTCTGAAATTGACCATTTTTCGAGAATGTGCCAATATATGTAAAATTTAGAGTAGTGTTATTTCCATTAAATTAAAATTTTGCACCCTCATCTTTTTAGGAACTAAATTCAAAAAGTTTTGCATATAAAAAATATGTTAAAAGTTTAATGCTTACATTTTTTATCTAGAAACGATACCTATATAATAAATATATAAAATATATATACAGTGAGGACGCGTGGGTTGGAACAAATTCATTTAAAATTCAGGGATGTTTTTTAAAAAAACGCTCACAAAAAAATCCTTAGAATACTGTCTTTTATTATGTTTAATCTTAATTCTCGATAACTGTTGAGTTTAGGTATAGGACATGGTACATAAAACATACTTAGAATTTGATGCAAAATTCAAAAATAAAATAAAAAATAGCGGTTTCCATTTAAAAAAATGAAGGTGATGGTAGTAACTTATTTTTGGGTAATCCTGTATACGTGAGTTTACTTAAAAAAAAACCGCATCCAAAAATAAAAATCGACGTGTCCGAGCGTTTTTTCGAAAAACAAATCCCTGAATTTTAAATGAATTTGTTCCAACCCACGCGTCCTCACTGTATAATCGATAATCAACTGTTGTTCAAACTTGCAGTTGCAAAAAATGTATAGGTTCTTTTCTGACATTGTATATTAATATAGGTTTTTAACTAAACAATAATAATGAAAAAAATATTCTTTTTATTGTTATTTACTTTTTTGTTGGCGCAGCGTTCGGCGTCATTTTTACTGCATTCGAGATAACGAGATAAAACAATATGTTTTGTGCTCTAAGATAGACGGGGATTTTAAATATTTAGTTAGGTGGAGACACTTTCAATATATTTGAATCAATTTTAATAACGATAGCAGTAAATATATTTTTTTTGCGATTCCCGAGAATTTCTCATAATAATATCTTATTTACTTAACAAATATTAAATATATGTATACAAAGTTTATATAGGTACACTTTTGCTTACCTTATTGCTAGAGGTAAAAGACTACCTGCCTCCAAATTAAATACAAGATGAACTCCTTCAATTTTCTTAATATTTAATAATTCAGTTGATTCTAAAATGCATAAAAGTTCTATTATACATTATACAAGAATTTCTATTTAATTAGGAATAAATAAACTTACATACTTTCATAATAATGGTTTAACAAATATATAAACTCATTCAACTGGCAGATATGATATACAAAGAAAAGAAAACATACAGTTGTTATTAACTTTCTACAACTTTGTTTATAACTAGTAAAACCTACTAAAAACGTCTTATGTAGGAAGAAACATGTTTAGTTAATAAATGGATATCCAGAAAGTACCAAGAAAGTTTATTTGCACCTTTAATAATATCTTTTAACTAAACAATTTAAAAAAATACTCTATTTTACCTTGTAAGGGCGATTTGAGATGCAATCGGTCATCGTCGGTCAATCGGTCAAAGTCGTTTTTCTCCGACATATGTCCGGATTCAGTTTCTTCCCAAGAACATCTCGCGCTTACGCCGCTTAAATTCGAACCTTCCGATTCGAAACCTCTTTCCACCACTTCGTGAGCGCTCGGGTTCAGTTCGAATATACTTTCGCCACGACGCATGTCGGTTATGTGTCCAGGTCCCCCAGCCCTAAGAAATAATACAAACATACAATTACATCTAGATTTATACATATACATGGTCTTTATACAGGGTTGCCACTCATATGAAAAACCTGTAAATGTCAGGGAATTTAATTTTTTTAGAAATGTCAGGGTAATGTCAGGGAATTGGCAAAAAAATCTTCAAAGTCAGGGAATTCCTAAGTCGGTCAGGGAATTGGTTATTGAATTTTCATTAAAAAAAAAATTTTTGATAACAAGGGTAATTTAAATTCAAAATATGTCAAACTTATCACTATAACCTTAGAAGTCTATATCAGGACTTATCACTATAACCAACTATTTGTATATTTTGTAAATGGTAAGCATAATTAATAAACAAATTAATAATTCAGTAAAAGCATAATTAATAAATTAATTAATTAATCAGTAAAAGACTGAAAAATCATAGTTCCTGTTGATAAAAAACTGTTTCAAGCCAAATGTTTGATTTGCAAGCAGTCATAGACCACATAAAAAGTGCGGGCCATTAAAAAAGGATTTCGGCAGCGAAGAACACAAATTTGTCAAATTTTCTTAAAAAAAAAGAACCAGATGGAAAATACTACTCTCTAAAAATGAATTAGTTAAAAATGACTAATTGTCATAGCGAAAAAGCAGCCACTAATAATTCTAGTCAACAGCAATTTGTATCCCGGATATTTAGCAGTCAGTTCCTATGTAAAATTGTCTGCTGAATCCGAATATGTCGTCAAAAGTTATAAAAGTAGTACAGTTTTTAAGATTTATTCAATTTTCCATATGTCCTGGCAGAGCTGGGCAAAGCACTCAAAAAAAGTGCTTCGAGCACCAAGCACCAAGCCCTTTGGAAAAGTAATTGCCAGCACCAAGCATCAAGCACTTTGAAAACTTTAAGTGCTTGCAATTACCAATTACCGAGAAAAGTAATTGAAAAATTCAATTACCAAGCACCAATTACTCAAAAAGTGCTTGCAAGCACTTTTTTCTTAAATAAATTACCAATTACCTAGCACTTTTTAGTTTTCCAATTGCTTCCTACCCAATTAATTAACATCTTTATTTTAAAAATAAGAAACATTTTTGGATGATCGTTATATTAAAATAACCAAACCAAACCAAAGTTTTTTGTTTTTAATTTATTAGTCCACACAACATGACGCAAAACAATTAAAGTGAAGAAATAATCAAAAAATAAGTACAAATTATCTGCAAGAAGGAGAAAGGTACTGGCCAAGTCGGCCTTCAACCAACCAATCACATTAAAGCTTATGCTGCACCGCACACCGCATTAGATGATGATGAAACCACAGGGTTGTTACTAAGGGCATTTCCCTCTAGAGTCTAAAGTGCTCGGGAGCACTTTAAATGCTTGCAAGCCCTCAAATCTGATAGTGCTTGCAAGCCCTATAGTGCTTGCAAGCCTTTTAAGTGCTTGCAAGCACTCAAATGGCTTGAAATGCGAAATTCAATTACCAATTACCAAGCACTTTTTATAAAGGGCTTAAATTACCAATTACCAAGCACTGTATTTTAAAAGTGCTTGCAAGCACTGTGCTCGAAGAACTATTGTGCTTGAAGCACTTTTTCAAGCACTTTCAAGTCAATTACTGCCCAGCTCTGTGTCCTGGGTACAAATTGCTGTGTACTACAGTTATTAGTGACTGCAATGAATTAGTCAAAATTTACATATTTCAAAGTGAAAAAGCATGCTTTGTCTAAACCAAATTCCCTGACTTTTCCAGGAATTCCCTGATTTTTTTTCCAGACAAAATGTGTTTTCTTTTTGGTTTCCTGACCCTTGAATGATTTTTTTGAGTGTTGGTTTTTAAAATTTTAAGTATGGGGCCATTCAAGTATTACGTAAGCAATAATTTTGTAGTTTTTAACCCCCCCCCCCCTTCCCTTTGTCAGCAAAAGTAAGTAAAGCTTATTATTAAAAATATACAAAAAAAATGAAAGCAATCAAGCAAAGACCCCCTTTGGTGTTTATGTAATACTTGAATTTATTTTTTTGTTGGTGGAGGATTATAACGATTAATTAAAAAACTAAACTTTTATTGAAGTTTATAAAATTAAAAAACATTATTAAAAAAAAAAACAAACAAAAAATTTTGGTTTAGACAAATCGGTGGCAACCCTGTTATATATTGCTAATTAATGCACCAGCGTCGTTAATATAAATTTAATGTATTTAAGTTTAATTTTGGTGCACGAGATTAGTTTGTAATAGATATTTATTTGTTTTGTCGACGTGTTCATTTTTGTAAAAAATATATATTGTGACTTACGCAGGTATTCTGCTGATTATGTCCAAAACCCCGGCTCCGTTCCATTGTTGCGCAGCTTTCAGTTCTTCGACGCAAATGCCTACGATCTGAACGAAATCGACCGAACCGAAGGGAGTGTGTGCCGATTGCAGTTGCAGGTCGCTGGTCATCAGCATGTGCTGTATGCGCGACTCGCTATTGTCTAGTGCGCAGTGCCAAGACACGTGATCGCCGGAACAAAGTGTATTTCCTGACCAAATAAATGAAAATGTTGTAAGAATTAAAACAACTATTTTACACGCGTATCATACTAAATGAGCATGTAAGTAATTTTGTATTTTTCTTCAAAGTGGTTTATATCATTTGACGTAATTTGCTATACTAGTGAAAACATTGGCAAAATAAAAATAACAATGGTCAACAGCCACTTTACCACAAGGTGGCCAACAACTTTTCTACGGTAATTAGGGTCCGCTGATTCCAAATATAGACATAATTTTGTCTCAATTTGCCTTTGTTTTCGAGATATTGTAAAAAACCGTTTATTTCGATAAGCAAACATTCGAAAACAAGGAGTCCGAACTTCATGTAAACAAGAATCTTCCTAAGATAAGAGGGCGCTGGTGCTCCGTTTATTAATAAACAATTGTTTGATTTGTACCGAAACGCTACTAAAAGAGCAGACGTCAGTAGGTACGCATCGACAATCAGCGCTGCTGGTGGTGAAAAACACTTAAATTGTGCAATTTAGAGGGCAGGTTTTGTCAATTTTCCCTATTAAGTTCGGGCTCCAAAACTCCGAAAACTCGAATACGCGCATGTGACGTCAAGTGCGAACCAGATTCAAATGTTTTGTTATGTTCTGTGGTTTTGCATAGGCGGAAACCTGCTTCAAAAGTGTCACAAGTAAAAAAAAAACAGTTTTCAGATTTTTTTTTTTACTTTTGACACTTTAAAGCGGGCGTGCGTTATTATTAGATACCGGTATAAATGCATTTTTATAATTTGTTACCTTTCACATTAAAAAAACGTAAATTTCATTTCAACGTAAGTTAAAATTCAATTAATAAAAAATATTTTGAAAAATAATAATAGGAAGGTAGGAAATTAATTGTTGCTTAAAACATGTTACATTAGTATGGAAAGCGCTTGCTGCCAATTTAACTTTCTCTTAACATTTGTTACACTTAATAATTGCACCCAGGCCGTCCCTATATTTATTAATTTTCGAACATAACGTGAATTTGCTGTGCAAATAACATTACAACCCAGTTACCCGCCAGCTTGGTTCGCACATGACGTCACAGTGTGCGAGAGAGATAGCTACAACATGCGCATCAGCATACCGGCTTTTGTGTATCGTGGGTTAGTTTTACTGTTTTGTGCTTAAAACTTTTAAGTTAAAAGTAAAGATAATTATCAAGGTTAGTTATATTGTTTTTTGCTTAAAATCTTTGTGTTAAGCCTGAATTAAAGATTGTCTTCCTTCCTTCCTCCCGTAGAAGATAAACAATACAATCCCGTTAAGGGAATCTATGAAAGGCACTACGGTTTTCGTATTGTTCATCTTTTACGGAAGGAAGGAAGGAAGACAATCTATAAATCAGGCTTTATGCTTAAAAGTAAAGATAATTATCATTCATATTTTCCAGAAAAGTGGAAAACTGGCATTATTATAAACATTCCAAAACCCAACACCGATAAATCCCAAGTAAAAACTACAGACCTATAACTCTCCTGACAAACTTGGCCAAAAATTTCGAAAACATTTTATGCAACAGAATTACAGAAGCAATAGGACACACGATTCCTCGCTATCAGTTTCGGTTCCAGAAGAATAAGTCAACCATACATCCTCTGACAATACTTATTAATAATATACAAACTTTACATTTGATGGGAAGAAAAACCACGGCACTGATCCTGGACATCAGCAAGGCATTTGACAGCGTCTGGCATAAAGGGTTATTATACAAACTGCACCAGCTAAATTGCCCAAACAACATCCTAAAAATACTCATGAAATTTTTAGATAACCGGAGTCTGCAGGTATCAATAAACAATAAAACCTCAAGAAACTTCATAGCCAAACAAGGACTGCCCCAGGGTTCCCCTCTCTTCCCTCTGCTCTATAACCTTTATTGTGCTGACATCTACAATAAAGATCCTATGCTCTTTGACCAAGATAAATATGTACTTCAATACGCAGATGACACCGCTATAATTTGCCATAGTAAAAATAAAAAAACTGTCTCTGACCAACTCCAAGTTCTGACAAATCAAATCTTGGCATGGTTTAACAAATGGAGACTAAAACCAAATCCACTAAAGTCTCAACTAATACACTTCCACCAAAACAAGATTGACCCTAATATAACAATTAAGATGTACAATGACATAATAGATCCAAAATGTAACGTAAAATACTTGGGAATCACACTGGATAAGTGATAGCTCAAAAAACAAGAATTTCGTTTTGACCTCAAATTTAACCTTGAATAACTTTTGATGGAGTGAATTTAGTCGAAAATGTTAGAAGACTTTTTTTGTAGAGCATTTGATTTCCCATAAGAATATCTATCGGTTTTTCCGGGTACTGATTTTTACATGAATTACAAAATTCCAAAGTTAAAAGATCAAATTGTAAAACTATACCAATTTTTAAGACCTGATGTAAGAAAACTGTTCATCTGACGGGAAGTTCCTATCAAACCTTTTTTGTGGAACTTTCAATTTTCTTCAAAAAATATTCTTAAGTCAATTTTGTTAAACTCAATGGTTTGGGAGTTCTGAGACAAAAATTAGCTCAGGAAAAAATCTAAAATTGCGATGATAGACCTCTTAATATTAATATTATTGACTCAAACTTTCACCATAATTTTTTGTCACCCCAAACAATATTTTCGATACCTATACTTTACAAAAAAAATAGTCGATTTTTTTGGTTCAGTTAATGTTTATATATATTTTTTAGTTAAATTAGGACTACATTACCAATGATCCTTGGTTAAAGTATTTGTTTAAAAAAATATAAATACATATAAAAAAACGTTTTTACACAATATCTTGAAAACAAAGGCTAACTGAGCTAAATGATGTTTATTTTTGAATCAGCACACTCAAATTACCCTAGAGTTGTTGGGTTCCCTGTGTCAAACAAAAAATTCATTTTTGTCGACCAGTGCAATTGACAAAGAAATAAGTAATTAGCTGTTTAAGCCCATTTTTTCTTACCAGACTGAAAGACGTATTTGGCCAGCGACTGCATTAATGTGGCAGGCCAGGTGGGTGGTGCCGTTTCTTCCGGTTCGCGTCTCAACCGAAACGTTAGTTCGAATCCGAAACCGGAAACGCCATTGGGGGTGGACGGTTCATGTACCCTACCGTCACCATGAAGATCGGAGAGACCGAAACTGCACAATAATCGTATTAATTAGGTATTTTTTGGGTCTTTCCAAAACCAGTATTTTGACATTTTCTATAAAAATTTATATTAAATTAAATAATTTTAACCCATATTTTGTATGCTATGATTATAAAGGATTAAAAAAAAAAATATTGTGTCATTTGCAATTTACAAGTGTGTATATTTGTATTGAGTGTTTTTTAAAGTAATTATTATTATGGTATTTTTTTAAGAAAACAATTGTGTTTAGCAAATATTCACCTTATGTAGTGCCAATGTGGTGGAATATTTTCTTGAGGGTTTCCTGGATTTGCATACATTGAAATATAGTCCAGTGGATCTGGTCCTCCCAACCTTAAAAAACATATTGCATTAGTTATTATATTCTGCATATTTTGTTGTATAAAGTAAAGTACAGGGTATCTCAATAGGTTTGTCTCATTTATTGTTCTAATATTGCATAAAGTAGTGGTGGTAAGAGCTCCAGCGCATGTTGTAACCATGGTTGTAACTACAGTTCACAACTTGGAATACTATGTAGTTGTTTATTGTTACAAAGTGTTACCACTAGTGTAAAATTTTAAATATTTTCACTACCTTCTTTTTACGACTTGACAAGTACCTATAGTACTTTTAATTAAAGACTTACATATATACATACATAAGGATCTGATGTTTTATTTAATAGTTAATAAATGTAGGTGTACAAAGAGTATTAAAAAAAACACTTTTAGAAAACACTGTGGGCATGTGGCAGCCCTTACACTTGTTATTTTATTTTAATTGTGTGCCAGTGTTATTTAACCAAACATTTCTATGGCAGCAAGTTTATTAATTATAATTAATAGAGTACCTTGGAATGACAAGGTTCTAAGCAGGGACCCAAATGAAATAAAGGTTTCTGTCCGGTTCCGGTTCCGAGAGAAACGACAAATTTCGGTTCGGGTTCAGTTACGAAAACAGAAAAACAGAAAACATCCTTGTGCCCTGTGTTGCAGGTGTCATATGTATACATAATACTAGGCAACACTGTAATTATTAAATCCCCCTACAAATGTACTACCCACCCATGCTAGTCAAGATACATACACCTACATTCTAGTCATTTTAATAAATCAGTCTTCAACCTACTCTGGTATTATTTACTTCATGGCGCAGTCGGTAGGATATTTTGTAGTCGGGGTTTATTAATTACAGTGTTGCCTAGTATTATACAAGGTGTCCCTATACTTAGTGGCATAAATTTGGTAGCAGATTAAGCAAGTCAAAATAAGACGAAAATCTAAATAAATATTTTTCCTAATTAGGTATGTTTAAAAGATACATGGTGATAAAGTGTTACTTATCATATCAGTTTTTTTAATATAACTTCCACTATGGTAGACTTGGAAAGGTGATATTTTGCGAACAGTCACTTACTACACGGAGAAAAAAGTTTATTGCTCCCAAATAAAAAAAATATTTAAATATGGGACAAGGGTGCAGTTTTATGAGGCGCCGTTTGTGCCATAATAATAAATAAAAAATTAATAAATATAAAACAATATTTTAAAAATATATAAATGTAAATCAAAAATTATAAAATATTACTTAAAGAAATAAAATTATAAATTGAGATATATATTTTATCAATAAAATTTATTTATATATATTTTATCACACAAAGTTATTTATATTTCCTTAACCGTTATCATTTATATTTTTAGCAGTTTATCCATATATATTTTAGCATGTGCCATAATATATACTGGGTTGCATACGCAGCGGGCGCTTACTAATGAAGTTAGCGTCTTTCACATTACGAGTGGCAGCACTGGAAGAACAGTTCAACTGTTCTTTGAGTTCAACTGTCAGTGACAGTCTGTCACATTTTTAAAACAAAAGTGCAACAAAAGCGTTTTGTGTTGTGTTTTGCCGCAAAACTTTTGCGTTCTCGTGATACCTGTATGTTTGTGGCGTGTTACATACATTGGTTCAATTCATAGATATAAGGCAAAGGTGTTCTTTGGATAAAACGTTCAGTCAACAGTATAATATAAATTCCAAATTATTCCATAAGCTTTGTTTAAATTATGAAGAATTCCAGCATCAATAGCTTGATAAATACCCATAAAGACAGCAAAAGTTTAGCAGTGATTCTCCAATTTAACAGCACCTTCTTCGAGAAGTCGAATATCAATATTATTCTGCATTATTAGGTCTTCCATTTGGCCTACATCATCAACTAATTGTGCAAAATATTGTTGAACCTCCATATTCTTAATTTGTAATTCCCAAAATCAGATTTATAACTCAACGACTTAATACTAGTTCAAATGTGTCAGATAGAGTTAGTAATAAGAGAGACATAAAAATACCCCATAGGTTTAGGGATTTTGTTATGTATTAAACATTTAGTTAGTTTTGTAAAAGGGGAGGTGTCATAATAGCCATGATTTAACAAATACTTGTCAGACAGATGTCAACATGTTCTCTAATATTGTTGTTTAATAAACTATGTTTAACGTGTACAGTGTATTAATTAAAGTAATATAACAACTATATTACGACAACGACCGCACCTTTTGTATTATAAAATTTATGGTATAAAGTTTATATTATAAACCTAATAAAAAAACAACTTCACGAAAACGCAAAATGACGCAAAACAGTGTTTTAATAGTTATTTATGTATTAAGGGCATAATAAGGTTTTCATGGTCCGAGGCGCTATTTCGAGCCCGAGCGCGTTAGTGCGAGGGCTAGAAAAGCGTCGTAGGACCATAAAAACCAGTTATGCCAGCAATGCATACAAAACTTTATGCACGATTAATATATTATTATTTTTAATATATTATTGTTTTTAAAGACGTTTACGTCAAAGAATTTTTGTTATAATTGTCATATTATAATGTCAACTGATATCATTCAGTTTTAAAGTTTAAAGATGAATGAAATTGAGGAAGCAGCTGAAAAGGCGAAAAATTGCGGCCTGCTGCCGGAAAAATCAAAATCTTTATACGAAAAAACTTACTTCGAATAGGTATATCAAATGGTGTAACATTGTTGTTTTTAATTTTTGACGTTTCATTATAGCCCGCTGGGTCATAATAACGCCCGCGGGCTATAAAAAGACGTTTACGTCAAAGAATTTTTGTTATAATTGTCATATTATAATGTCATAGTGCATAAAATCACTTTTGTTTAAACATGAACAACTTTGACAGTTGAAATGTCCTTCCAGTGCTGCCACTCGTAATGTGAAAAGACCCCAACTTCATTAGTAAGCGCCCGCTGCGTATGCAACCAACTGTATATTATGGCACATGCTAAAAATATATATATATAAACTATAAATATATGGATAAACTGTAAATATATATATATATATATATATATATAAACTATAAATATATGGATAATCTGCTAAAAATATAAATGATAACGGTTAAGCAAATATAAATAACTTTGTGTGATAAATTTTATTCATAAAATATATTTACGCATATTATTATATTATTATATTTTAAAATTTTTGATTTACATTTATATATTTTTAAAATATTGTTTTATATTAACATATTTTTTTATTTATAATTATGGCACAAACGGCGCCTCATACAGTTTATTTATCCTAAATATATTTTTATTCCCGACATATATAGTTTTACTAAAGTATATTTATCGTTATTATTTCGACTATTTAGAGGTAATAAACAATATATTCACTACAAATAAAAGTATTAGGTAAACAGTTTATTTGTCCCATTTTTTTCTCAGTGTACCGAAACACATATTCACACATAATTACAATTGTTCGAGTAAACGCAGTGTCGTAGAAACAGGGGTTGCTCAAGCTTATTGTCCCATACAAACTTTGAGGTTAGGTTTTTATACCATTTGATGCAATTTTTCGATTACTCAGTTCGGCTACCAGTGGCGGCTGGTGGATTTTAAGTATACCAATATCTCAGTTATTAGACATGGGACCCACACCAAATTTATAATAGTTTATATTGACATTAAATAAACAAGTTCGGCGCAAACAGAATTTAAATTGAAGTTTGCGAAAAAAAGTTAGTTTTTCCTGTCGCCTACCCTGCCTCCAGGCCCCCCTATTTGAGATAATTCAAATTAAAGTGGTGCAATTTATTATCTACTATAATTTATCGACAAATTTAAAATTTTATTCAAAAAATCCAAATATTACAGATTTTATTCGATTTTAAATTTTTATTATTTATTTTATTAAAATAAAAAAATATTTAAAATGGTATAAAAACTGTAATATTTGGATTTTTTAAATAAAATTTTAAATTTGTCGATAAATTATAGTAGATAATAAATTGCACCACTTTAATTTGAATTATATCAAATAGGGGGGCCTGGAGGCAGGGTAGGCGACAGGAAAAACTAACTTTTTTTCGCAAACTTCAATTTAAATTCTGTTTGCGCCGAACTTGTTTATTTAATGTCAATATAAACTATTATAAATTTGGTGTGGGTCCCATGTCTAATAACTGAGATATTGGTATACTTAAAATCCACCAGCCGCCACTGTCGGCTACTATTAAAAAAGTATACCCCTCAAACTTCGATAAAATAAACCGTTTCCGAGATATTCGAGATTACAATAATTGTTATAACGCATTAAAGGACTAAAAGGTATATGATAACAAATTTTTTAATTGAAAAAACTACAATTTTTTTTAATTTGTCCGTCAGGGCAAAAAGTCTCGAGGCTCATGGAATGCCCTTTTTAGTTTTTTCAATTAAAAAATAAAATTTGTTATCATATACCTTTTTATCCTTTTAAATAATGCGATATAAAAATTATTGTATTCTCGAATTTCTCGGAAACGGTTTATTTTATCGAAGTTTGAGACGTACACCTTTTTAATGGTAGCCGAACTGTGTAATCGAAAAATTGTATCAAATGTTATAAAAACCAAACCTCAAAGTTTGTATGGGACAATAAGCTTAAAGCAACCCCCGTTTCTACGACACTGTGTTCACTTAAACAATTATAATTATGTGTGAATATGTGTTTTGGTAGTAATAAGTGAATATTCGCAAAATATCACGTTTCCCAAGACTACCATAGTAGAAGTTATATTAAAAAACTGATACGATTGGTAACACTTTATCACCCTGTATCTTGGAAACATAAGTAATTAGGAAAAATATTTGTTTAGGTTTTCGTCACAATCTCGTACTAAAAATACAAAAAATCACTGCAACACTGCACAGTTTAACGGCGGCCATTTTTGTTGTTTACAATTTTTGTGCTTTGGGTTTGTGCTCTAGAGCTGTTTATACAGATTAATAATCGTTTTAAACGTTGTGTTTCTCATAGTAAGCCTTAAAAGAGTCCTT